TTTTTTCAACAATTTTCACTCCTGTGTAAGTGCTGCAGGTGAAAGCACTTCTTAAAGTGATTGACACTATGGATTTATATCTCCAATAATAAAAAAAATAAGTATTTACAGTTCTGCCCCTGAGACAACGTAAGGAGCTCAATTACAATATTTACAAATTGACATTACGTACAAGGAAAATTAATCTAATTAAATGCCTTTACAGAGTTAATGTCGTGTCATTCGGTGTTTCCACATTGTGTTGTCGTCAACATTCTGTTCTGTTCAACCTACAATATCAGTCATACTGTGTGATCATCTAGTAATTTATACAAAATGTTTCCTCTACTGTATGCGCGTCGTTAAATAAACAAAATTGCTTTTAGATGTTGTGAAGATGGAATATTTGCATACACATACACGCGCAATAACAACGCTGCGACTATCCGCCTCATGGTGTGCAAAAACACATAATACTCTAACCCACAGGACCACTCACCCCTGAGTGGAGTGGCGGATTGTCACACACTCGTCTCCTTGCCTGAAGAAATGACGTTCATGAAGAAGTAACATAACGAGAATTTTAGAGACGGGGGGTAAGCAACTACATATCTATGTGAACAAGTGCTTTATGTGGAACAAATCTCTTCTATGGGAGGACAATTGGATTAACTAAGACAGAATAACCAAAAGCTCGTTTTTCGTTGGGCTTGAGGAAAGTTATAAAAGAAGAAATATCGAAGCCTTTCACGAATCTTAAATGGTAGTTAAACTAAGGTATTTTATAAAATCAGCAACATTATTTTAGAAAGCTTTTCCTGAATACATAATAGACTGTGTAGGCCCACTATCCTACCCACGTCAGGGTCAAGAAATGAATGTATATTTACAGTGATCTACAAGGTCACAAGATACCATAAAGCAATAAAGTCAAAACTTTTAAGACTAAAACAATACTGACAGAGTTGGAAAGAATCTTACTCAGGTAGGTTTACCCCGGTTTGTCCAGTCGGTGTTAGGTTCTAGTTTCAAGGCAAAGGCCTTCAGGGACGTTTTAATTTTGAAGGGTTTTCATTAACTTATCCTCCATTGCAAGTGGCCTTGGAATGCTTTCACCAACCACTGAAAACCATGATGAGAACTTTTTGTTTGAATGTTCCCACAGACTGGGACGAGAACCATCAGAAAGACTCAAAAAGAAGCTGCTAATTTTAGTCCATTTGAACTGATATACTGTCACTGAATGCAGGGGTCGTTATGAGTAATGAAAGAGGGTTGGGCCAGTGGTACTCAAGGGAAATCAGTAAATTCTCTTAATGTAAGACTTCGAATAAGATAAATCTCAGGGAAAATTTAAGAGAGTACAAAAGGAAAATGGAAGGTATGATACAGCTACTAACGCTCGTTCTTTCAAGCCAGGAGACAGAATGACGGTACGAGAACCTGCTCTTGAATACTCCCTGAAAACTCGCTTTGAAAGACCTATGAAAATGATGTCGAAGGTTACAATTACAAATACGTATCTGCCCTGTAGACACATCAGGCGATAAAGTACTCCATATCAATTAAATCAAATAATTTCGCATTAATCCTCATCTGCCCTCATAGGTCCTGTTCCCAAGTGATCCCATTGATCTGACACTTGAGTCAGATATTAAGGAAGCCAGTGGTATAAAGGCACAGTTGACAAATTCAGTTAGTTCAGAACCCTGAACACCTAATGTCTGTTCTCACCCCGACACACAGGTCCTTGACATCCTGCCAGTGGTACAAAAGTATAAATAATTACATGCTGACATTCTTAAATTGTACACTATAGGTGTGCATGATGTCAATGTAGATGATAAACTCATTAAATTAGCCTCTCACAGAGCACACTCGGCAAAGTTACAATTGATGTGGGAGAAGACAATTTTTTGTGTGCTGAAGAGTTTCCCAGTCACTAGACTTTTCTCTGCATCCTGGTAAATTAACTAGACGGTGGTGTGAGGATGTATACGGACTTCTCAGGATGCCAGTCCTCCTCCATGCATGGATGATGTGATAAACATTGTGGCCAAGCTAGATTTATTGAATGGTTGCTGCAATTGTTGTACCAGGGAGACCAATATCTATATTATGTAACCCCTTTGGAATTACAGAATGTGCCAGTCACATTCCAATGTTTCATTCATAATGTTGTTAAAGGGTTGGAGGAGTTGAAGTCTATCTTGATGACTTAGTAGTTTCTGCTGAGCATGAGCATATACAGAAATCAGACATTGTGTTTAATAAATTAAAGTTTTACAATTTAATATAGTAAACTTTGCTAAATCTAAATCTGGAAAATCAACAGTAGTCGTTGACTAAATTTTGGCACCTAAACAAAAAGTCAAAATTCAGTTAGTCCTAGATTTTAAATCACCTCCATTATCGAAGATCTTTCCAAAACTTTTGAGATATTATTGGATTTTATCAACAATTCTGCAGTAATTTCTCTGATATTGTAGCCCCATTAGCTTCTCTTTACCAGTCAGAGAATTAAATACATATTATCAGTTAGTTGGGAAACTATTGCCAAGATTAAGATGGGCGAATATTTTTGCTAGTGAGTCTGGATTTGACGTGGACCTACCAAGCATGGACCAATAGGCCTACTGCAGTGTTCCTCCTTTTTATGTTCTTATGTGTAGGATGGATTTTTATTGTGCATCGGGAAAATGATTAAGCATGCTCCTTATATGTCAAATACAGTGTATTTTCAGCCCTATTATGAGCACAAGTGAACAGTTCCAAGGCCTGTTGTACCTGGCCGTAACTTATGTCTCAACACCAGGATAAACTCAAGCAATGAAGAGCAAACACACGGAGGGGCGATGGGGAGGTTTTTATTTACACGTATATATCTTTCACCAAGATATGTACAGTATTTACAGAGTTAAATCAGCAGCATAATAATAATAAGTCAGAGAATAACAAGCCATTCATAACAGTTGGTTAAACTATTATGAGTGGCTGGTCGTATATGAGTATATACAACCAGCTTGTGTGAGAGTTTGACCCACAGCCAAGCATAGCTTCACCTCGGCAAGCAGGGCCACCTCTCACGCTGTTGGCAGACTGAACTGGACAGTTAATAGACCGGTGGGACTCCAGAACTGCTCCATTCTGAATTGTCAACTGCTGGTTGAGAGGGGATGCCAATGGGTGTGTGATAAACGCCGAATGAATTGTAATATACTCGGCACATGCCACAATCCCTGTATGTTTTTTAGCCATACTGTGCACCCTTTCCTTGCGGTAGTGTATTGAATGGAGAATGATAATGTGTCTTTGTACATATTACTCTCCTGTCATGAACCGTCATCTGATTTAGGTAGAGTAATACACAAATAACCCGCACATAAAAGAGAGAAGCTTACGACGACGTTTCGGTCCGACTTGGACCGTAACGTCGTCGTAAGCTTCTCTCTTTTATGTGCGGGTTATTTGTGTATCGTTCCAGTCACGGTATTGTGTCTTTTTGTTATTTAGGTAGAGTAAACCGGTCTCATTAGCACATATCAAAGGTCTCCACGACAGTGAACATTCAAAGATACATTACCATGTACCTCAAACCTCGGTACTCGAATCTATCCTTACCTCACTTGTGGTATTTGTGCTTGGGGATCTACCACAACAAACCACCTGTAACCAACATTAACTCAACGAAAAGCTGTAGCTAAAATGAACAATCACTTTAAAAAATGTTCCAGACAACTCTCTCCCACTTTTCAAAGATTTTAGTTTACTCAATACAAAACAGCTGTACTTACTATTGTACGCACTATATATATATATATATATATATATATATATATATATATATATATATATATATATATATATATATATATATATATATATACATACGGGACAATCAGTGCTAATATAAACCCAGACATTGTTCCAATCACAATACCGTGACTGGAACAATACACAAATAACCCACACATAGGAGAGAGAAGCTTATGGCGACGTTTCGGTCAGATTTGTAAATGGTCCAAGTCGGACCGAAACGTCGTCATAAGCTTCTCTCTCCTATGTGCGGGTTTTTGTGTATTATGCACAATTCAATAATAAAATACCTCTTCGATGTTCCACGTATTCGACTCAGCCTGAGCAGAAGCTCAATGCGCATAAAAGACCTCGAAATCTGGAACTCTCTTCCATAACATTCTAAAAGTTATTCATTAGCCAACGGCTCAAAAAAAAAAAATTATTGTTAAAGAGTACCTTCCGAACTTGATGTGATTTATGGTAATCAAATATAAAGATCAATCATATCTGTCGTACCCTACCTTCAAGCTTCGGCCCAATTTTCACGCTCATTGGCTGCTCGATTCCAGTGTCTTTCTACACCAAAAAAAATGTTATGTTATTTTCCCTTCATTTTGACACTTGTTTTACTAATAATCGGAATTTACTATTTACAGTGATCGTTGCTCTTAATTATTTTCGTTCATTAATTTATGTTACAGTGAAAAATTATATGTATTTCTACCTTAACTACTCTACAAAGTTTAAGGTGTGTATATTATTATTTTGAATCTGGCAGAAATGCATTGTATAATTATGTGCTTTTCCATGTATGACGCAATTGTTATTCAGTCTCTTATCATACAACAGTATTAACTTTGGAAAACAGATGTATTTATGCCATGCTGGTATTTTACTCTGATGACTGTGGAACCCCGATTATTTAATAATGTTCTAGGGGCCGATGTTGTGTGCGCTGAGTACGTTAGGTATTAATTAGATAACATAAAGCAACAATCCTGTAGTTATCTTTGCCAGTTATAATCAAGGAAATCAGAGCTATCTAGTGGTGGTATTCAGCTCTAAATTGTCTGCTTACTGTTAGGTGCACTGTAACTTTTTGTCTTGTCAGGGAGTAATAAATAATGAATAATGCTTGCATTCATATATGTTCATTAGCATTGTTAAAAGACAAACTATTAGCTAAAATAAATAATAATACAAAATGGGTAATTAAATCTCACTGAAATGCGCTTATTTATTTAGGGTCATTTTAACAATATACAAATCAAAAGTAACTCCTTAGCTTAGCATTAAGTCAATATACAGTAACAGCATCATTCAACCGTAATTATCTCGTCTTTAACAGGGAATTGGGAACATATCCCTAATACCTTGTCTAGCACACATGGTGCGATAAGCCTTTGCAGCATCACAAGGTCTATGGGCGGCATGACACATCTTGATGAAGGGCTTAGGATTAACCACCGGGAAGCATTTAGACCGAAGCTCAAGCAGAGAATGGCACTGAATGATTCGTTCTGCTGGGACAGTGTCATGGTCGAAGGGAGAAATGGGAGGAGTCGGACACTGTCTGTCCTCTTGCCAGGATGCCACCAGTTCTTGCAGGCTGGAAGCGTTCCTTCCCGATGGTGTAAACCAGTCGTTACCAACTTCACCATCATAAGTACCCAGAAGACCTGCAATGCGACCGTAGGTCCAGCCAGACACGTTCACGGATACCACACGTTCTTGGCGGAATACTCGGACTGTCATGAAGGGTGATGTTGCATTGACTTCTCGGGAGGTCTTTTGAATAAAGACATCACCTGCAGTTAATTGTTGTCTGTTCATCTCATGTCCGTTGACGTCGACACGGAAGTCTGGCTTAACAGAAACGGTAGTGGAGCCAGTAGAGAAGGTGATCTGTGGTGGAGCTGAGGGTTGTGGATGGGTCATGGTAAGTTTGTTGTTGGCATATACAGCCAAGACAACATGGCACGGTGAACGAGGTGCACGGAGCAGAGTGCCATCAAAGGTAAGGATCTCTGTGTCACTGATAACCATGGCTGTGCGGTTGTAAGGAGGCAGCAGTTCTGTCATATGGCCGGGCAGCAACGTGTAGTATGTCCAAATTACATCTTGTACTGGAGCTGATATGTATGTGTCATAAGCCCATATCATGTTTTTAAGAATTAACATCGGATTTGGAACAGCCTTTTGCAACAACTGAGTTAAGGAATATGTAGGTGAGTGGAGTGCAATATGTGAACAAACGAGACCACGTTCAGTTTTGATGGAAACGAAGTTTGCTTCTCGAAGAAGACGGCTTACGAGTTTATCAACTTCCCAAGTTATTAGGTGGTCCTGAAAAAAATAATCAGTTACAGTGATAATCTAAGAAACAAACATGCTTTCATTTATTAGAAAATTGTCCTAAAGTTTATTTTTTAAATAAACTGAAATTTATTGTAACAAAAATGTAAGTAATATTCATTAATTTACAAAGAAAATCTATTAATAAAGTTCACAAAAATACTGAAACAAACAGTAGAGAATTATTAAGAGAGGTTACTAACAGAGTCATAATTGTTGATGAGCCAGGAGAGGATTCTCTGTATAGCAGGTGTTTCCATGAGTCTCTCCCTCAGTTTATGAAGGTCCTCACGAAGAGCCTCAATAACTTTACTCACGACCTGCCGAATGGCATCATACTCCTCCGGATATCGCGACATTAGGGCATCGACGTCTCTCTTGAGCGCCTTGAGGAACGGCGTCTCTTCTATCAGACGACGCACTGGCCCAGGAATTTGGCCGGTCTGCAGCCAACGTACAGTCTGTGTGACCACTGTGGAGGCAATGTTCAACTTTAAATATTACCTTGAATAGTGAGTGATCGAAGAGCAAAATGTTGCACTTTAATTGCTTTACATGTATATTTTATTACTACTTCTAATTTAGTTTGATAGAAACTCCAAAAATACTTTAAGAAATCTAGTAGTCCAATCATTACATATTTAGCTAAGAACGGTTAACCGCTTACTGTAATGCTAGTTAACATTATGAAGACTTAAGAACGTCACTTCCTGTTGTTAAAAAAGAGATCCTACCATCCATTGCCGTCTCCATAAAGCCTCGGAATTCTCTTTGCCATGCCACTGCCACTTGTGTCAGACGAGTCTGAAGGTCCATCTGGAAGCTCGCCATTCCTGACCACGCGCGGGAATACACTCTCAGGATGAACGAGACTCTGGGATCCCGGAAGAATTCACCCATTGCCTCGTACCGAGACTTAACTCCATCATATAAGTCCTCGTGCAGTTGCTGCAACTCTCGTTTGGTTTCTTCTACGAGTCTCAAAATCTCAGGGTTAGGGAAGGGAACCCGTGCACTCCGAGCTTCCTCCTCCAGGTAGCGGTAAATATTGTCGCCCCATGACCTAGCGGATTCCATTAGCTGTTCCAAGTCATCCTTTACAGCTTCCTTTTTAAGACAAATAAAACAGTATTAAAATTGTCACTTATATCAAGGAAAACTTTCAGTTTAAAAAAAAATTGCTCGTTGAAAAGACGTTTTTTACTTACTACATTTTCAGAAGAAAAAACAATATTTTCAGAAGCAAGAAAATATTTAATTCAAATACTATTAAGGACAAAAATTGTGAAAAAAAAATCTGTATTTACATTTGTATTAGTAATTCATTTTCAGGTGACAAACTTGAGAGAGTAAAATTTATATCATGTACTGATTCATTAAACATGGTTTAACTAGTTTATAATGGATAAAGCTAATTGATTACTTAAAGGTCATTAATTCAAGGCTATATTAATCCCTAGGACAAATTAAATCAATGTTGCATTGTTTGTACACTAAAGGATATACACTTCTCAATGCATTTTTTTAGTGTAACTAACATTTTTTTCTATAAACGAAAGCTAATTCTCCAGTAAATGTAATATGTTTATTACATTAATGTGTATTATCAGTAATCTATACATTATTTATGTCTTCATAAGTTTCTTTCTATGTGCGGATTATTTGTGCATTTTTAACAAAAATGTTTAAATTTAAAATATGTTGAGTGTCTTACCTTTATCATGTTTGCCTCTTCTTCTCTGTAAGCGCCTTCCACTTTGAGCTCTATAGGAGATTCAAGCTTCATGCGAGCCATAACAATGGGATGCTCCTTTTTCCAGTCGCCACTAGCCATAGATATACTAGCCTCAATATTTTTGGGACTCTGCAATCCAAACCTTGTGACGTAAATCCTCTCAGTACCTTGCTTGTTGGTTGTCACTGCGATGAAGAGTGGTTTACAGAATTTGGAATGAATGTCGTAAGTTCCCAGAGGAGAAGCGTGAGCCACAGCCTTGACCTTGAAGCCGTAACACTCAGGATCTTCGTCTGACTTCGCTACACCAGCAATGTCCACTACGGCATGTTCTTCGTTTATTACACGGAAAGTCATTGTTGCATCTCCAGTAGGGATTCGGTCGTACAGAGCCGACACTTGGAAGGATACAGGTGAAGAGGGAGTCTTCCGGAACTGCACATCAAAACCAGTCGTATTTTGAGAATAAGCTGCCATTACGGTGACCTTGGGGTGAACTCTCAGTACCTGCAAGAATAATATATTAAAATGTATATTATTACTCCAGTCATTTTTCAAGATTTACTTAACATCTCAACCAATATAAAACTGTTTAACCTACCCTAGTAGTTAATGATGCCTCAATCCGGACGGTGTTGTTGGCGATCTTGGATGACTGTAGAGTACCTGAAATTTCGTCTGCTTTATCGGGGAAGATGTCAAGCTTAATGGAGCCTCTCATGTACTCTCCACTGCCTGAGAACTTAACTTCAACTTGCAAATCTTTGCTCAGACTTGGATGACTAATGTGGCCTTCGTACTTATACTGTTCATCCTCCTGATCGTAGAAAGACTTGGCAGAAATCTCGTATTTGGCATCACTCTTTTTTTTGTTGGGATAGAACTTGAAACCTGTCTTAGAAGGAGAGTACTCAGCTTCACCCTCGAGAGTGTGAGATGGAGACTTGAATACCATGGCATAGGTGTTAGGTGTGGGTTTATGATATCGGTAGCGGTATCTTTCTCTCTCTTCAGTGCCTCTTCTTTGTCCATAGCCTTTTCCTTCCTCAAAGTCATCTTCTTCATAGTCTCCTCTTCGTTCCCCAAAGTCGTCTTGTCCAAGGTCCACTTGTCCAGATCTTCCTCGTTCATGGCCTCTTCGTTCAGAACTACCTTGTTCATAGTCTTCTTTATCAAAATCTCTCTCATGCCCAAAATCTCTCCCAGACCCAGAATCTCCTCTGTTTTCGTAATCTTGTCTTCGTCTAGAATCTTCCCTTTGTTCATATCTTTCTTCTTCAGAATCTCTTCCCCGTTCATAATCTCTTCCCCGTTCATAATCTCTTCCCCGTTCATAATCTCTTCCTTGTTCATAATCTCTTCCCTGTTCATAATCTCTTCCTTGTTCATAATCTCTTCCTTGTTCATCATCTTCTTGTCCATAATCACTTCCTTCTTCATTATTTTTTCTTTCCTTGTATTTTCTTTCTTTTTTAAAGTCTATACCTTTTTTAAGTCCTCTTTCTTGACTTTCAACAATACTGAGGACAGTTTTCAGAAGATCACGCATGGCTGTGACGTCAATCGCGGAATCAAAAGATCTCACTCCTCCCTCCGGGTAAGTCTCTAAGTCCCACTTGAACATGGTGCCCGGAGTGTCCATGTCCGCCTTCCATTGGATGTTGTAAGAGTTATCTCTGCTGGATGACTGAAATTCCACCTGTAGAGGCTTCCTCGTACTCGGAGCAGACGCTACAACCTAAAGGGATTGATACAGCATTAACATTTGTTTAGCTTATATGATAACTCGCATATACTTTACATAACTATTTGTTTTACCTAATAGGTAAAACGTGATTTTGGCTTAAATAGCAACGTTCTTCTTGCCGAATAAGGCAAGCAAAAATTTGTGTATGCAATAATTTCATAAAAATCATTTTGAACTTAACGAAAAAAAATATATTTCACTGAGTTTGTTTATTATTAAATTACTGAAAACTTATCTAATATATATTTAGTTGGATGAAGCTAAATTAAATTGCGCTTGTTATAATAAGGTTAGGTAAGTTTTTAAGGCTCTTTTGGTATAAAATTATTAATTTTTACATTAACATTAATGAAAAAAATGTCTTTTAACGTATAAGAGAAAATTTTAGGACTTATTTTTAAATGATTTCTTGCTTAATGACTAGATAGATAATGAAGATATAATACAAGTCGACAGTTCACTTCACCTTGGAGTAAATAACTCGCCCTTGAGACGTTGATTGGTGCTTGCCTTCTGCTCTTATAGCTGTTTCCTGTCCTCGTGGTGATGTGATGCTCATGTGACAATCACCCTTGTAACTGTATGGATTACCAAGGTTTTCTAAGCTCGCTCCAGTTTCAAGAATGTAGTCCTCATTCTCCAAGTTATTGTAGTGAACACTCAAGTCTGTCTTGAAAGCTCTCCTCTGTATTTCCATTCTGTTCATTACCTCCAGATTTATAGTCTTCCGAGAGGGAGTGGTCACTACCAATTTAAATCCATTATCTCCTTGGTGATGGAATAGAATATCTGTTGCAGTAAGATCTAATCTGAAGGGGTAAGTTTGCGACCTCCATACAACATTTCCCCTGAAGGCAAGAATAAATATGTTATGAAAATATGGACTTATATATATATATATATATATATATATATATATATATATATATATATATATATATATATATATATATATATATATATATATACACACATATATATATATATATATATATATATATATATATATATATATATATATTATATATATATATTATATATATATATATATATTTATATAATATTTTATTATTATACTGATAATGCATTTTTATTATCTATCGTAATATAATATTTCCAATGTGCCATATCATATCTTAGAAACACATTTACTGTTATATATCTTGTTTTATTTTATATGTACAGGTCAATATGTTTAAGTGCATTACTTACCGGATGGAAGCATGACCAGGACTTGACGAGCTGCTCACAAGGGAACATTCAGATATAATTTTCTTACTGGGATCACGATCGGCATCCCAGGAGAGTTCGACGTGAACTTTCTTTTGCTCTATATTAACATTAGTGTATCCCTTAATTCTTCGAGGGGAAGAGCTTTTGGGGAAGAGCAAGTTGTTAAAGTTAACCCGGACAGATTCTTCACTAATGATCGTATTGATTTCATACTCTAATAGTGACTTCAGCTGAAGCTTAAATTTCATAGCAGACTTTTGAGGGGCTTCAGCAGTTACATCATATTCCAATGAAAGCAAAGGTTCTTGTTCATTTTTTAGTTCAAAGTAGAGCATCTGCTCTTGAGGAGTGAATTTAACAATAGTAGAGAACCTCTGTTGTCCACTGTTTAGAACATTAAATCTGATATCAGCTTGTAGTTGTGTCGTGGGGAAAAACTTGGCTGAGACTGGTCCTTGAGCTTGAAGCAACATGCGATCTCCGTGCTTGAGCGCAGCTTCAAGCATGTAGCGCTCCTGCTCGTTCTGGGTCGCCTTGCCCTCAAACTTGATGGCTCTCATGTATGCTGGTATGTCAATCTGTGGTACCAAAAAAATATTAATGTTACAAAATATTTAAAATTTCTTATTTTTTATGGAGTAAAACAGAGACAATATCTTAAACAGAGAAATGAAACACAATATGATAATTTTGAATTGTGAGAATTCATTAGCAATTATATATGTGTAGGCGGGACACACCAAGCATGGGCACCAAATAACTTAAATGATCACCCCTTCACGGTCGTGTCTTAGCAGATTTAGATCAGTTTTGAAAAAAATCTTTGGAGATGCTAAACTTTCATTGTTCCATACAGCTGTATTGCTGAAGCCGTTAATTGCTGACTCTAGGCAATGACATGTGTGGATCCTCCTCCTTCAGGATCAGTTTTGGAAATGCAGTCGTATACAACACTGCAGGTTTCAACATCTCCAAAAGGTTTTACCTAAATTAATTTTAGGCCGCCAAGACACGGCCGTCACGTGAAGTGAATAATAATAATAATAATAATAATAATAATAATAATAATAATAATAATAATAATAATAATAATAATAATAATTTTTATATATGCAAGGACATGATACAACTTATACAGACCATAGCTGACATCAATGACATACTATATAGAAAGCTGCTGGTTATGCAGAGCATTTTGGTGCAAATTAGGTCAATTTTGTCTTCAGGATGCGACCCACACCAGTCGAATAACACCCAGGTACCTATTTACCGTTATATGAACAGGGACAGCAGGTGTCTTAAGGAAACACGTCCTCAGTGCTTCACCCGCACCTGGGATCGAACCACAACCTCAATGTGTGAGCCGAGTGCACTACCAACCGTGCTACTGGACATCCTAATTGTATTACTTTGAAGCTCACGCTTAGTGTGCATATATACGCTCCAGTCTAATATATACACCCAAGTTACCAAAAACAAGTTATATAGTTTTTTTAATGTTAGGTAGTCTTAGTCCTAGTCTAAGTTTGTTCAAAATGATATGCATGATATGGGTTATCATATTACTGAATATTCCTGTTCAATAATTTGAAATAAATTCGTCATTGTTTTCCTAACTCTGTATACTGGATTGATAAAACTTCTTGTGAGCAAAACATATCTTAATTAAAAGGTTAAATAACATTGAACATGTGATTAATTTATTCATTTGTCGGTATTATATACCTTGTGTGAAATACTTACCTCAAATTTGACTCGGGGTGAATCTCCAGAGAAATCATAAAAAGCCTGCCAGTCTATGACCTTCCGATTATCCCCAGAACGTATAACTTCCAGTACCACTCCCTTGGCATGAAGACCACACTGTATGTCGCATGATACCTTGTATTGTGATCTGCCCATATTAACTGTAGGGATACATGGGGAACTACAAATTTGCTGATATTTAAGAAGGCCAGTCATCATAAGGTAAGTATATACACATTTATATTCACACTACGTTCTCCATTTCTGCAAGTCTTTAGAGTGAGTGTGGGAGGAGGGGGTTAAAATTTCCGATTTTACCTGCAGCTGAAGTTTTAGCAACGAAGTTCTCGTAGAGTCTTCCTTGTGTAGTGTGGCTAGCCTCAACAGAGAGCAAGTCTTCGCGCCTTCTTGCTATCTTGAAGGCAGATGCAAATTCAGTGTTGTCGCCAGATTCACTTGTTTGACGGATATATGAACTGACTAGCCAGCCTCCCAGGCCCATGTGGAATTCAGTCTTATGAAGCTTCGCTGACAGAGGCAGCTGAGAGTGAGAGGCGTACCTCAGGTCCACTCCAGCTGTATATGGACATCAACACGAATTTAATTGTATGATACCAGTAATAGTAATATTATTATTATTACACTTACTTCTACTGTTAGTACTACTACTGCCACTATTATTACTACTACTACTACTATTGATAATAATATAAAGTTTCAAGTAATTTCCTGTATAACTGCAGATTTTCGAAACTACAACAGAATGATCATTTATCTTTTTTTTTGTAATTCCTAATAACCATTACAAAATATATTAGGAAAACTTACTTTCTATATTCCAGTCCACGTAGTTCCTCCAGGAGTTCAGTGTTCTCGATAAAACATTCAGAGAAATTTCAGAACCGCTCAATTTCTGAACATACTTGCTCTCGAAGACTTGTGTCTCAGGTGGGAAATTCCTATTTCGGCTGCTGTATATATTCATTTCATAATTTTTCTCATTTGATGTTGACCTGGTCTTTAATTCTAATTTGAATCCACGGGATAATTCTGTCTCACCAGAGCTGTGCTTAACATAAGCTTCGACACCCTTGTGAGCATGTCCAGTGTTCATTTTGACCCAGATTCCGCTGTTGACCACAGGAGATTTCAATTTGGCAGAAATAGTGGAGGAATCATCAAGCTTGGTGAAAGACACAGTTGATTCGACCTCTCTTGGCGTAGAAGATCCTGGTGTGTCTACCTTAATTACCATCATTTTGCTTCCTTTCTTGTTCTGAACGGATGCAGTTAGGTGATAGCCCACCATAGAAGACTCTGTCTTCTCGATGTACAACTTAGCAACAGCCGGAGCCCCAAGCGGTAGAGAATTGCTGCGGAAGATATCTGGGATGTCCATCTCATAACAGAACTTAAGACCTAACACGGATTCAAGACTATTCACACATGAGTGACTTCTGATTCTAATGTCCCTCATGGATGTTGGAATGATCTTGGTTTCTGGGCTGCCTCTCACACTCTTCATAAGGTATGTCTCGCTCTTCACATTAATAATCTCCATCTTTTCAGGAAGATCTAACTGAATTTCCAGCTCTTGATTGCTGTTTCTCGCGATGCTGAGAGAGAGACCATTGCTACTCGAGATGTTTGTAGTCATCTTAATTCCTGTCTTGTCAAGGTAGGCATCATAGCCAACAAAGCTATCTACGTGTACAGACAAGCTAGGATAAACTTTGATATCCTTCTCACCACTCCTCGTTTTAGATAAGATGTCAAAGAGGTTAAGATTTCCTTCCACTTTTAATCCAGCAACAGCTGTTCCTTCCATCTTAACCTTGAGTGGAGTTCCCTGGATAGTAGGGAAGGAGTAGTCAAGAGACATCTGAGCACTTCGGGCTGAATTAATGTCCAAGTTATCAATTTCCGGGATGATGTTTTCAAAGTACGAGAAAAATGATTCAACTAATTTCTCAGGAGTGATGTTCTTTAAGTCTCCAGCTATAGACGCAAAACCTACCTCCTGGCCCATGAAGCGAGCAAACAAATCAGCCTTGACAACTCTTGATTCATGACCGTAAAATTTATGGAAGAAGTTGGACAAGGTAGACATATCAATGGATCGTTTTTGTCTGATTTTCTGTTGTAACTTTTCTTTAAATTTGCTTCCTGTTTCTTCAACAAATTTGGTAATATCGTTGAATATTTTTCCTAAACTAGCACTCCGGAGGTAACCTTCATGTCCGAACAGTTCCTCAATGACTGGTTCTAGGCCTTCAAATCGTGCGCCAACTTCTCCTACGTTCAGTGAGACCCCTTCAAAGGCACCGGTAAGGTTGAAGTCAATGGAACGAGGGACGAAGGATCCTGGAGCGTAGATGATGTTGGACTCCAGGCCAGCACCAACACCCGCAGAAGGTGAGAAATATGATAGGTCTAAGTTGCGAGAATATTTTCTGATGTCTGTTTTAAAATTTCTGGGAATGACGATATTTGTCAAAAGATTTCGTAAGTTTTCTTTGTCAGGAGCATCAGACTGCTGAACATTCCGGAGATGACTTAAAATGAAACCACGAACTGAAATTGTTGAAATAAAACACATAATCATAATAGTGTACCTTCATTTTGCATCATAGGTAACAATTTTTTTATATTCACAAAATTCAATCAATACATTCATCAAAAGAAAAAAAATACCTTGAGTGTTCTGCTCCACAGAAATCTTTTCAACAATTTTCTCAAAGTCCCACTTTTCAGCACAGCGAACTGCTGCAATATATGATGCAATTCGAACTTCAGTGGTTTTCCTGGAATCAAGGGCATAACCGACAAGCCGCTCAGTAGACTGTAAAAAGATGAAAAGTTATTAGCGTTATATAATACCCAAAATTATATAAATTTTGTCTTAAACTGTACACATTTTTAAATCAGTTTTAGTGATACTTACAGCGCGATGACACTTTGCTTTTCTGAAGGCTTGTGCTGCAGCCACGCGGATTCTGTTATCAGCCCCTTCAGTCTCCATACACCTGAGGACAGATGTAGCGACTGCTGGGGTCATCACACCCATGTTACCCAGAGCCTTGAGTGTTGTCAGGGCAGCTTGCACAGTCTGCTCGTCTTCAGAAGCAGAACACTGTCTTTGTAGTTTGTTACCTAGAGTTTCGGCAAGGCTCTTAACTGGTTCTTCTTCATGACAGTTGCGATTGTGATTACAATAATTATTTACCATACTGGAAGCAGCCAGAGTAGGGTATGGCATAGGCCGGGTGGATTCAAACAATGGCTTTAGAGCCTTCATAGCATGGATACATGGACGAGGAATTAGGTAGAAAGCGGCAGTGTAGAGGGAATAGCGACCACGTGTGAAATGACTGTTCAGTAGCTCCTTCACCATAACTTTCACGGCACCAGGCTCGTCGACGAAGGAAACAAAATCTAAGAAAAGTTCCTCTAACTTCTTGTAGTCTTGACAGTATTGACCGCTGCGGATTTTATTCAAAGTTTGTTCGACGGCTTCCTCAGGCACCATACGTAGGAACTGTATGGCCCTGGCCACAAGGGCAGCAACATCACGTTCAACATTATCTCTAGTCTTCCTACAAATCTGGCTCATGATCCTGTCCAACTGAGTTACCATGGATGGGTCCTTCTTAGGAGTATGATAGTCATACAGTAGACTCTTGCGGACCATGTTACCTTCAAGGATATCAGATGAATGTTCACTGGATTCTGATAGGTATTTCAGAGTTGACATCATTTTGGCTTCAACATATTTGTAGGCACCATAACTGGGCTTGACTACGTTTTTATCTTCGCAGGTGATGGCGGAATAGATTCCATTCCTAACCTCTTGTTTGCACATACACGTGGATTCGTCCGTTATGAAAGGACCTCTGAGCCAGGGCGCCGGGTTCTCAGCAGGAGTGTGGTAGCGCTCCTTGCACTGCCTGTGATTCTTCTCCTTTATCATAATAACTGTGTCTCCATGATCCTCTACTTCGTACCTCGTTGGACACTTTCCCACTACGTCTGTCTGTAATAAAATATAAACGTAAGAAAATAGAAAACAATTGTCGTAGTTCAATAAAAAAAAAAACAGTAAACCACTTATTTTTACTAGTTTAGATGGCATAATATTAAAAATTTATTGATGATTACATATAGTGTGCACACATTTACTTACAAATTGCGGACTAGTTTAAAATTGTAAACTGTAGTTGATAAAAAAAACATAGATGAAGATTAAGGATACTTTACTAAATGCATCAGTCTAATCAGTTAAGTCTTAGCCTGGCTAATTTACTACTACTGCTGCTCATTGCAAAATGAAAAAATTATTCTGCCTTTGTTATATCATGTTAGTAATTACAGTTATAAAGATTAAATTACCCCAAAAAATTTAACCTAAATGTTCTTCAGGGAAAAAATAATGCATTTAAGTAGTGTACAATCATTACTGAGAAAGAAAAATTTTACTTCTGTAATATTTTGTCCCGAATTGATGGTAGAGTTAGAAGGGAGCGAGTTCTGGAAGGCTGAGGCAACACCCTTCTTAAGGTTGATGGACCAGGTGTCGTCGTCAGGATGACTACACACGTGCTGAACCTTGCCGTCGGTCACCGCCACCACCAGTGGGTACCTCTCCAGGAACCTGGATGCGCCTGGGACTGGAAGGGCACAAATAGGCATTTCATCTAGTGACAACAGCAGATTAAGAGGCGTTTGAGTTTCCCTGTCTCCTAATATCATGTTTATTTTTTTCCTATAATCTTCCTTGTTCATAATTACTATCGCATTTGCTTTGTCTGCTTTTGTAAGTAAAGTCTAGGATCTTTCCTTAATTCATGGTATAACTTAACAAATCTTTGAGGACAATTGTGTTGCAGAGGTCTGAGCTTTGCTCAGACCTCTGCAACACAATTGTCCTCAAAGATCTGTTAAGTTATACCATTAATTAAGGAAAGATCCTGGACTTCACCTTACGAAAGCAGACAAAGCAAATGCGATAATAATTATGAACAAGGTAGATTATAGGGGAAAAATAACATATAATTAGAAGACTGACTGAGCTGAGCATCAGTAGCTAGTTTATCACGAGGAACAACAGGTGAGAGTACCCAATAGTTAATATAATTAGTTAAAATAGCTAATCAAGTTTAGGGCTTTGGGCAGTAATTAGTTCATCTAGCAACAATAGTTGGTCAGGCAGTATAAAACCAAGCTGGGCTTTAAAGGGCGCCAATAGATAATGCATTAGCCTTGCATGCTGGGTCTTTATTCACTATATCGCTGTGGCTGATCCCAGGTTGGGAGTACACGTAAGTCAGAAAGTAGTAGAAGTCGTGGTGTTGCTCTTATATTTTAATATGGTCAATAAACATTACACTCACCAGTGGCACCGTCTGTCTTAGAGTCTTTCATAGTGATGACCATGTCACAAGGAGTGATCCATGATAGTTCAACTTGTGCAGACCAATCCGTCTCCGTCAGTCCACCTTCCACTCCTTTAAGCTGGATCCTGGACTTCCCGGAGTACTCATAGGTGTAGGTTTTTCCTGGTTGGTAGAAGAGTTTCGGGGAGCCGGCGATGGGACATTCCGTGGAGCACACGGCTGTATCTCCTCCGAACGGTGCTTGTGGCAAAAGATAATGTAATGAATTTCAAGTAAAAATGCAATTTCAGCAAAATCTGTTGAAATGTATGTAGTTTTCTTATTTTAGTTAGAATTAAATAAAGTTTTCGTGTGCCACCCTAAGAGAAAGTCAACTAACTGCTCATAAAAAAACTAAATTTTGGAATGCTGATTATTATAATCAAGGGAGAAGCGCTAAACCCGTAAGATTATATAGCGCCTGGGGGGGGAGGGATGGAAGGTACTCAGGCTTAATTCAGGGAACTGGAGCACAGATCCAGTTTCCTAGATTAAGAGCCCCTCACCAGCGTCAAGGAACCTCCCTTGAGGAGTGTGGAATGCTGAAATATAAATTCTCACACTAAAAATGTTCCAAAATCATAGAGTAAGACAAATCAATATCAATATAAAAGGATAATATATTCTGATAGAAGGGCAAAGATGTTTATGAGTCACGGTAAATGTATTTATGAAAAAAAATCTTAACAGAACATTTAGTTGCATAAAGTATGTTTTCCCATATTGGTAGCCAGGGAAATAAATTATTCTGGAAAATGAGGCAAATACTTAAGCCATTTTTTTGTTGTCTTGGAGAAAACTTTTAAGATATTCTTGTGCCAAATTATCAGTGATAAAATTCTTCAGTCTATTAAGAGCGTTAATTAAAATAACATCAGATGGACAAATCGTTAAATAAAACAAATCGACAAATTGTTTACCTGACGATGCTGATGTCTTGTACAGTGTATAATGAGTACACTGAAAGATGCGTCACCTGTACCATTACTCTGAGAGAAGCTTCACCCGCATCATTACACCGAGAGGAGCTTCACCTATATCATTACACTGAGAGGAGCCTCACCTGCACTATTACACTAAGAGGAGCGTCACCTGCACTATTACACTAAGAGGAGCCTCACTTGCACTATTACACTGAGAGGAGCGTCACCTGCACTATTACACTAAGAGGAGCCTCACCTGCACTATTACACTAAGAGGAGCCTCACCTGCACTATTACACTAAGAGGAGCCTCACTTGCACTATTACACTGAGAGGAGCGTCACCTGCACTATTACACTAAGAGGAGCCTCACCTGCACTATTACACTAAGAGGAGCCTCACTTGCACTATTACACTGAGAGGAGCGTCACCTGCACTATTACACTAAGAGGAGCCTCACCTGCACTATTACACTAAGAGGAGCCTCACCTGCACTATTACACTAAGAGGAGCCTCACCTGCACTATTACACTAAGAGGAGCGTCACCTGCACTATTACACTAAGAGGAGCCTCACCTGCACTATTACAGTAGAGGAGCCTCAACTGCACTATTACACTAAGAGGAGCCTCACCTGCACTATTACATTAAGAGGAGCCTCACCTGCACTATTACACTGAGAGGAGCGTCACCTGCACTATTACACTAAGAGGAGCCTCACCTGCACTATTACACTGAGAGGAGCCTCACCTGCACTATTACATTGAGAGGAGCCTCACCTGCACTATTACACTAAGAGGAGCCTCACCTGCACTATTACACTGAGAGGAGCCTCACCTGCACTATTACACTAAGAGGAGCCTCACCTGCACTATTACACTAAGAGGAGCGTCACCTGTACTATTACACTAAGAGGAGCCTCACCTGCACTATTACACTGAGAGGAGCCTCACCTGCACTATTACACTAAGAGGAGCCTCACCTGCACTATTACACTGAGAGGAGTCTCACCTGCACTATTACACTGAGAGGAGCCTCACCTGCACTATTACATTGAGAGGAGCCTCACCTGCACTATTACACTAAGAGGAGCCTCACCTGCACTATTACACTGAGAGGAGCCTCACCTGCCCTATTACACTGAGAGAGCCTCACCTGCACTATTACACTAAGAGGAGCCTCACCTGCACTATTACACTAAGAGGAGCCTCACCTGCACTATTACACTAAGAGGAGCCTCACCTGCACTATTACACTAAGAGGAGCCTCACCTGCACTATTACACTGAGAGGAGCCTCACCTGCACTATTACACTAAGAGGAGCCTCACCTGCACTATTACACTAAGAGGAGCCTCACCTGCACCAGCACCCGCCACCAGGGCGAGGACGATGAGAGCTGCCGAGGTGGTCATGGTGGCGTCACAACACCACCACTGATACTTCATCTCACATATCCTTCCCTTTATATACCTAGCCACGGGTACCCTGTTATCAAAGAAGCGAGTCGAAGGGCGGAAAATTATTCAGTCATAGTTATCAGAAGATAATCAATTCATAATAAGTTACAAGGTGACTTCTACAATGCTGATCATTATTAATATTTTTTTCTACCTTACTGTAGCTGCTTCACGAAAGTTTGTCCTGTTTCTTGATGAATCTTACCTAATCTTACCTCAACGAAAAGTTTTTATGATTGCTGATTTAAGCACGTAGTACAATAGTAATGATATGCAAGTATAACATATTTAACCCACATTATATATGATAACAAAGACGTATAGTTCAGGCTATAACATTTTAAAATATTCATTTTTTTTTTTCAACAAGTCGGCCGTCTCCCACCGAGGCAGGGTGACCCAAAAAAGAAAGAAAATCCCCAAAAAGAAAATACTTTCATCATCATTCAACACTTTCACCACACTCACACATTATCACTGCTTTTGCAGAGGTGCTCAGAATACAACAGTTTAGAAGCATATACGTATAAAGATACACAACACATCCCTCCAAACTGCCAATATCCCAAACCCCTCCTTTAAAGTGCAGGCATTGTACTTCCCATTTCCAGGACTCAAGTCCGACTATATGAAAATAACCGGTTTCCCTGAATCCCTTCACTAAATATTATCCTGCTCACACTCCAACAGATCGTCAGGTCCCAAGTATCATTCGTCTCCATTCACTCCTATCTAACACGCTCATGCACGCTTGCTGGAAGTCCAAGCCCCTCGCCCACAAAACCTCCTTTACCCCCTCTTTCCAACCCTTTCGAGGACGACCCCTACCCCTCTTTCCTTCCCCTATAGATTTATATGCTTTCCATGTCATTCTACTTTCATCCATTCTCTCTAAATGACCAAACCACCTCAACAACCCCTCTTCTGCCCTCTGACTAATGCTTTTATTAACTCCACACCTTCTCCTAATTTCCACACTCCGAATTTTCTGCATAATATTTACACCACACATTGCCCTTAGACAGGACATCTCCACTGCCTCCAACCGTCTCCTCGCTGCTGCATTTACCACCCAAGCTTCACATCCATATAAGAGTGTTGGTACTACTATACTTCATACATTCCCTTCTTTGCCTCCATAGATAACGTTTTTTGACTCCACATATACCTCAACGCACCACTCACCTTTTTTCCCTCATCAATTCTATGATTAACCTCATCCTTCATAAATCCATCCGCCGACACGTCAACTCCCAAGTATCTGAAAACATTCACTTCTTCCATACTCCTCCTCCCCAATTTGATATCCATTTTTCTTTATCTAAATCATTTGATACCCTCATCACCTTACTCTTTTCTATGTTCACTTTCAACTTTCTACCTTTACACACATTCTCAAACTCATCCACTAACCTTTGCAATTTTTCTTTAGAATCTCCCATAAGCACAGTAATCATCAGCAAAAAGTAACTGTGTCAATTCCCATTTTGAATTTGATTCCCCATAATTTAATCCCACCCCTCTCCCGAACACCCTAGCATTTACTTCTTTTACAACCCCATCTATAAATATATTAAACAACCATGGTGACATTACACATCCCTGTCTAAGACCTACTTTTACCGGGAAGTATTCTCCCTCTCTTCTACACACCCTAACCTGAGCCTCACTATCCTCATAAAAACTCTTTACAGCATTTAGTAACTTACCACCTATTCCATAAACTTGCAACATCTGCCACATTGCTCCTCTATCCACTCTATCATATGCCTTTTCTAAATCCATAAATGCAATAAAAACTTCCCTACCTTTATCTAAATACTGTTCACATATATGCTTCAATGTAAACACTTGATCTACACATCCTCTACCCACTCTGAAGCCTCCTTGCTCATCCGCAATTCTACATTCTGTCTTACCTCTAATTCTTTCAATTATAACTCTACCGTATACTTTTCCTGGTATACTCAATAAACTTATTCCTCTATAATTTTTACAATCTCTTTTGTCCCTTTTCCCTTTATATAAAGGGACTATACATGCTCTCTGCCAATCCCTAGGTACCTTCCCCTCTTTCATACATTTATTAAACAAAAGTACCAACCACTCCAACACTATATCCCCCCCTGCTTTTAACATTTCTGTCATGATCCCATCAGTTCCAGCTGCTTTACCCCCTTTCATTCTACGTAATGCCTCACGTACCTCCACCACACTTACATTCTGCTTTCTTCACTCCTAAAAGATGGTATACCTCCCTGGCCAGTGCATGAAATTACCGCCTCCCTTTCTTCCTCAACATTTAAAAGTTCCTCAAAATATTCTCGCCATCTACCTAATACCTCCCTCTCCCCATTTACTAACTCCCCTACTCTGTTTTTAACGGACAAATCCATACTTTCCCTAGGCTTTCTTAACTTGTTTAACTCACTCCAAAATTTTTTCTTATTTTCATTAAAATTTCTTGACAGTGCCTCTCCCACTCTTTCATCTGCTCTCCTTTTGCACTCTCTCACCACTCTCTTCACCTTTCTTTTACTCTCCATATACTCTGCTCTCTTATAACACTTCTGCTTTGTAAAAACCTCTCGTAAGCTACCTTTTTCTCTTTTATCACACCCTTTACTTCATCATTCCACCAATCACTCCTCTTTCCTCCTGCCCCCACCCTCCTATAACCACAAACTTCTGCCCCACATTCTAATACTGCATTTTTAAAACTATTCCAACCCTCTTCAATCCCCCCACTACTCATCTTTGCACTAGCCCACCTTTCTGCCAACAGTCGCTTATATCTCGCCCGAACTTCCTCCTCCCTTAGTTTATACACTTTCACCTCCCTCTTACTTGTTGTTGCCACCTTCCTCTTTTCCCATCTACCTCTTCTCTAACTGTAGCTACAACTAAATAATGATCTGACATATCAGTTGCCCCTCTATAAACATGTACATCCTGGAGCCTACCCATCAACCTTTTATCCACCAATACATAATCTAACAAACTACTTTCATTACGTGCTACATCATACCTTGTATATTTATTTATCCTCTTTTTCATAAAATATGTATTACTTATTACCAAATTTCTTTCTACACATAGCTCAATTAAAGGCTCCCCATTTACATTTACCCCTGGCACCCCAAATTTACCTACTACTCCCTCCATAACATTTTTACCCACTTTAGCATTGAAATCCCCAACCACCATTACTCTCACACTTGATTCAAAACTCCGCACGCATTCACTCAACATTTCCCAGAATCTCTCTCTCTCCTCTACACTTCTTTCTTCTCCAGGTGCATACACGCTTACTATAAAATATTCATGAATGATAATTTCTTAGACAACTAGCTGCAGTAACTAATATTTTTTATATTAAGCATTTAACACTGCTTGCTATTACTGCTTACGAATGGAAATTAACATTAAAAGGAACCTGAAGATTCTGTTACCATCACCGAAGGCACCAATACGCGTTCACTTACCTGCCTGCTGAAGTCTGTTTCATGCAAAGAACTTGACCTTAACAATATGATGGAGGAATACCGAGGGCTCGAACTTACAAGCTACTGAGCATGAGTTGAATATGGTAGAATACAGTATTAGCTGTAACTCTGTCCCAATACTGTACACAGTATGAACAATACAGGAAATTCCTGTGAGTAGAAATAGGTAATACCAGAATCACTTTTAGCAGATGGAGAATTAAGCCTTCATCTATTTAGTAACATTGCAAATTTTATATAATAGAAACATATACACTACCCTTCCCAAAAATGAGTTTGTAACAGAATGTTCTTGCTTCTGGGAACTGCTTGAAGAAATCATGTATACTAGAGCAACTAGTTTCTTGTTTGAAGAGCACAATGTAATAATGCAGATAGATAATGCCCACTTCATCCCAGGCTGGATGAAGCCTTTGCTTCATAAAATGTTTAACGCTTAGTTTTGATTATAATAATAATGATCCATAAAACTGAAATAATGGTCCATAAAACTGAATTACGTATACTGAGTGGATATCATATAATTCTTAACATATCTTGTCCGGGGCCCAAGACTGTTCAACAGCCTCCCATCAAGCATTAGGGGAATTGCCAATAAACCCCTGGCTGCCTTCAAGAGAGAGCTGGACAGATACCTAAAGTCAGTGCCGGATCAGCCGGGCTGTGGCTCGTACTTTGGACTGCGTGCGGCCAACAGTAACAGCCTAGTTGATCAGGCCCTGATCCATCGGGAGGCCTGGTCATGGACCGGGCCGCGGGGGCGTTGATCCCCGGAATAACCTCCAGGTAACCTTAAAACAATTAAATTAGTTAAACGATGTTGGTGTGTCATACAGTAGATTTTGATATAGTAATGATATCTTGGTAAATATGTGATTGAAGTAGTGTGACAGTATTTTGTGGAAATTATGTGGTGGTAATAATATGATAATAATCTTGAGATACAAGTTATACAAATCGCTTTTAAAAAAACAAAAAGTAATGTATTCCCTAGACCCTTCACTGGCCAAGGGGAGCGTGAAGGTGGAGGTTTTATTCTCTAGACCCACAGCATCCATCAACAACAAATATTTCAGCATAAGAAAAATGGTGAAACACAAAGGTGCATTTGTATTTTTCTTCAGAAATTGTGCGCTGACAGTGTTATTGTTACAAGGCTGCTGCCACTGGGGGAGGGGGCATTAACAGACGCGGCCTCAGCGTCTCGCTCGGTCTAGACACAAATTATCACCAAAAAAAGATGTCTAGTGAGCAACAATGTACAGACGCTTACTCACCTAAAGACTGACGTCACACCTTTCCTCTGAGCAATTAGCTTTTCATATACGGTTTGCAGCACATTTCTGTGGTAGTTTAGGATGTCCTAAATCCATAAAAATGTAATAAATTATAACAGCCCACATTAGGTTTTCGCTCTATTGTGTAGTTGGAATTTGTTTTATACTCCGATCCAGCTTGTATTTCCTCGAGTTTTTCATAGCGTAGTAATTGAAATTTGTCTTCATTGAGCTTCATATTGTTTTCTGAAGCCTATGTAAATACTCGGTTAATGTCCACTGGAAGATTTACAGTGTCTTGATGGATGACACTGTCATGTAAATTCTGGTATCATTAGCAAAAGAGGACGCTGAGCTGTGGCTTACATCTTTGTCTGTGTCAGAAATGAGGATGAAGAAAAGGCTGAGAGCCCCTGACTTTACTGTGTTTAGTATTACTTTTTGTGTTAAATTTTTTAAAGGAAGTTATAGAGACATCCACAGAATGCTGGTCTCTGTTGTGTTGATTAGGTTGTGTATAAAGTCTCAGAGTTTTATTGTTGACGGTGGCTACTGAGTCCAATCAGCCTCCTACCACACTTATAATAAAGATGAGATGAGGGTACTACTTTGTCTATCTTGAAATTGGTCTCAGACGTGTAAACATAGGCTTTTTATCCATTGAAGTGTTGGATGTATCGCCAATCTTTTCTTAATAATTAATTAAGCATAACTTGAAAATCTCTGTGAGGAAGTGGAACAGAATTCTTCCTCCGTAAGCCATGCGTGTCGTAAGAGGCGACTAAAATGCTGGGAGCAAGAGGCTAGTAACCCCTTCTGTATAAATTACTAAATTTAAATCTTTTTAAATTAGGTCACCTGCCTCGGTGGGATACGGCCGGTTTGTTGAAAAAAAATGAAAGGGTATATTACTTATTTTCTGCTGCACAGGGAGCTATACAAGAGATGTTTATTTTAATCATTGTTTAAGGGCTTATAGTATTCTTGAGTGGTCGAATACTGGTGAACTGAAATTCTAATAAAAACATGCAGTCGACAGGTTTTACACATAGCTAACACACTATTGTAAACCAACAGGGTATTATATTGTTAATATAATCTTTATTTACTACAAGTGCATGTACATGGTATACAGGCCAAGATGACATCAATGACATCCTATTATATAGAAAGCCACTTGTTATGCAGAGCATTTCGGGCAAATTAGGTCAGTTTTGCCCCAGGATGCGACCCACACCAGTCGACTAACACCCAGGTACCCATTTTAAACTGATGGGTGAACAGGGACAGGAACAGCAGGTGTCTTATTGAAACACGTCCCTAATGTTTTCCAGCCGTACCGGAGGAGATTCGGACCCCGGACCTCAGTGTGTGAGCTGAGTGCGCTAGCGATGGAGCTACATAGCTGTTGTAGATTCGCCGGTACTGCCGGCCCGGGTCTTCTCAATAGTGCATATACTGTGATGCGTATCTCTATGTATACATATTCATTATTTTTTCTTCGTTTTTCTCTCATAAGTCATGTTTAACGAAATAGATTGCTTCCAACAAAACATGGCCGCTCTTTCCAAGTGAGTTTAAATAGTTTATATTGATATTTTTTCTTTTTATTAAATAGAATCTTTACTTTTGAGAGTGTGCTGTTCTCTCTCACTCAGCTTACTTCATTGAAAATGTGGACGAATAAAAAACTCATTTCATTAAGCAGTTTTGTTGACCATTTAGTTGCTCTCCCGCCCTCATTGGCTACGCAGTGTGTTTCTTTGTGATTAAAACTCACAGGTACAGTAATTTTTGCAATAATATGATATTTTATTGTGGCGGCGTTCTGCTCTACAGGAGCTTTGTCAAGCCGTTATGAAGCTCCTGGAAAGAGAAATGTTGCTACAGTAAAAGTCACATTAGTTTCATCTGTGTCCATTTACCCCTTCAGGTAGGTTCCTTGACGCTGGTGAGGGGCTCTTGATCTAGGGAGTTGGATCTGTGCTCCAGTTCCCTGAATTACGCCTGAATATCTTCCACATCCCCCCCACAGGCGCTGTATAATCCTACGGGTTTAGCGTTTCCCCTTGATTATAATAAGTCTCTGGGTGTGTGTGCGCGCGCGCGTTTTTTAGTACCCTATTTAAAAAAAAACACTGATGAACTAGTCAGAACAATGTTTTAGAACTTTGGTCATATCAAAGTGCCTATCATATGTACGTGCGTGTAATTATTATCTCTTGACACTCTTTTCTATACTGCTACCGTTATCAAATGTCTGACCCTCGGAGCGACAGGTATATAAGTGGGAGACTTTAAAGTAGGAATCAGCAGTGGCAGTGTTGGTGTCATCCAGATATGACCACCTCCACAGTTCTTGTTGTCCTCGCCCTGGTGGCAGGGGCTGCCACAGGTGAGTCTCATTACACAATACCACTGTACACATATAGTAACATGCTCCTCGGGCCTTATATACTCCCAGAGAAACTCTGTGGCTCTGGTGAAGGTAACACAGAGTAAGGGATGGGGAGTTAAAGAAACTTCCAGTTTTAGGGGCTTGTGTGCGTGCTGGATAGGAGTGAGACAAGTGGTTACTAATGGACGGACTGTTGGAGTGTGAGAAAGGTAACTTTTATGAAGGGATTCGGGGGAAATCGGTTAGCTGGACCTCAGTCCTAGAGGTGTGCAAAGTAGTGCCTGCACTCTGAAGGAGGATGGGGATTTGGATTTTATGAATGCGAGTGAATCTAATTCGGATGTTAGGGAGAAACTGCTTACTGAATGTTGAGAATATGATAAAACGGTGCTCAGCATTGCTAGTTACTACCTGGGCATATTTCAGTTCTCAGAATATATAAATAGTTTTTTTGTTCACCAGGGTGACATAACAAATGGTTTGCATTTTTTCAGTCAAATAATAAAGCTATGCTTACTTATCTCCCTTCTCTAGTACTGATTTTAAAACTAAGAATTATCTGGTTTTAGAATATTTATTACCTTTTATGTAAGAATGGGAAATGCTGAATGCTGGAGCCTCGACCAATTAGAAAAACACACTGGGGGCACTCTAAATTTACAATTACTTACCCACATTTATTTTCATAAACGCTACCTGAGTCAAATATGCAACAAACATTAGAAGATTTTGTTTCCTTTCCTAAAGAGTGTGTAATAATGACATCGTAGCTCCTAAGAACATAAGAATGAATGAACACTGCAGTAGGCCTATTGGCCCATATAAGGAACCCTGCCGTAGTTTGGGATCTAGAAATTAATTTTTAAGGAGAGAGGAATCTTATATATACTATGATTTTCTTTTGTTTGTCTTAGCACCGTATGAAGGAGATGCAGCCGTATGCTCCAGGGAATGTCCCATCGCAGGCTCTCCCAAACTCTTCTACCAAGAAGGAAAGACCTACACCTACAAGTATTCCGGGAATTCAAAGATCCAGCTGAAGGGCACGGAAGGTGCACTGTCAGAGACGAAATGGTCCAAGCGAGTTGAACTGTCATGGATCAGTCCCTGTGACATGGTCATCTCCTTAAAGGAAACGAATGTGGATGGATCTAGGGGTGAGTAATCTGGGAAGGAAATATAGTGACTTCATTGTAAAGATGAAGTTGGAAAGCATGAAATGTACCAAAGGTAATAGAAAGAATCACTGAATCAACTGGAACACGAATAATTTTATTTGCAAGATGTTCGAGATAAATCAGAATGGATATTAGTATTGCTTCAATGTGAAAACTTTCAGTCAGTGATGAATGTGTATCAAGATATGGAATTACTAAGGTTTCCTATGTGGATAGCTTCTCTCTACTATTAGGCTTCGATGAGAATAGCCTTTTCTATGGCTGACACTAGTTTTACTAACTACTGGTATGCTCCTAGCCCCAGACGCTGCCAGATTCCTGGAGAGGTACCCACTGGTGGTGGCTGTGAGCGATGGCAAAGTCCAGCATGTGTGTAGTCATCCTGACGACGATACCTGGTCCGTCAACATTAAAAAAGGCGTCGCCTCAGTCTTCCAGAATTCCCTCCCATCAAATTCCACAGTTAATTCAGGACGAAATATTACTGAGGTAATCTAATAATTTGTCACAAGACATGTTTTCAAGTTTTTTTCCCCTTAAAAAATGGATAGTGTATGTTCCTTCTCTATCTATTTTGTATATCTTTTTATGAGGGGTTTGACTCATTATATCATACGGTAATTACAAATAAAATGAGCAGCTTTTATAAGTTTGAAAGGAAAATAATGTAACATGACAAATTTATATAATGAACCGAAAACCTTTAGGCTACTTTGTCAGGTTTAAAGTATATCTAACATTATTATTAAAATTGCACTCTAACCTAAACCGGTTGTTCTCCATAATTCCTCAAGTTTTTCCACTGTATGATTACTTTCTTAATGGCTCCAGCGTTAGGGCAGTTTCATGTCTTCCACTTCATAATTATTTTCGAAACAAATTAAAAGAATTTTTATTTCAGTTTTTCAAATTTAAGTTAAAAGATTAATAGCATTTTTGGGCTTTTATGTTCCTTATTTAGATATATTGTTGACATTTTACCACTTGACATTTACAAATAAATATCTATCCGAGATTTATTACAGGGTCTTAAAATGCAAATTATCTTGATAGATGGATGTAGTAGGGAAGTGTCCAACGAGGTATGAAGTAGAGAATCATGGAGACAGCGTTATTATGTGGAAGGAGAAGAATCACCGACTGTGCAAGGAAAGTTACCCCACCCCTGCTGAGACCCAGGTTCCCTGGCTCAGAGGTCCTCTGCCTCTGGAAGAGTCTAAGAGTAAGTGTAAACAAGAAATTAGAGATGGAATCTACTCCACCATCACTTGTGAGGATAAGAAAGTAGTCCGGCCCAGTTATGGATTCTATCAGTATGTTGAAGCCAAACAGGAGTCAACCCTGAAATATCTATCCGAATCCAGTGAGCGTTCACCTAATATTCCTCAAGGTAACATGATCCGCAAGAGTCTCAAGTATGACTATGATACACCTAAGAAAGACCCGTCCATGGTAGCCCAGTTGGATCAGCTCATGGGGCAGGTCTGTGAGAGGACCAGAGATATTGTTGAACGTGATGCTGCTGCTTTGGTAGCCAGGGCAGCACAGCTGTTGCGTATGGTGCCCGAAGAGGTAGTGGAACAAACCTTGGAAAAAATTCGCAGTGGCCAATACTGTCAAGATCCAAAGAAGCTGGAAGAACTTTTCTTGGATGCTGTTAGCTTCGTCCACGAGTCTGGTGCAGTAAAAGTTATGGTGAAGGAGCTGGTGAGCGAACGTTCCACAAGTAGTCGTGTTGTCCTCTACACTACTGCTTTCTACCTCCTTCCTCGTCCATGTATCCACGCCATGATGGCGTTAAAACCATTGTTTGAATCCACCCGGCCTCTAGCAATGCCCACTCTGGCTGCTGCTTCTATGGTAAATACTTATTGTCGTCACAATCATAACTGTCATGAGCAAGCACCGGTCAGAAGCCTAGTTGAAGCTCTAGGCAATAAACTAAGAAGACAGTGTTCCGCTTCTAACGACGAACATACTGTAAAAGCTGCCCTAACAACACTCAAGGCTCTGGGTAACATGGGTGTGATGACCCAAGAGGTCACCACATCTGTCCTCAGGTGTATGGAGACTGAAGGAGTTGAGAAGAGGATCCGTGTGGCTGCGGCACAAGCCTTCAGACAAACAAAATGTCATAGCTCTGTAAGTATCATTTCAAATCATTAAATTGAGTTGCTTACTGATGCAAAACTTAAGGTGGAAATACTATTCAAATATTTTTAATAATTTTCTAATTGTATATATTTTATATTTTGTATACTTTTTCTTCTGCAGCCAACCGAACAACTAGTCAATATAGCTGTGAGTCCTACCAAAGACACAGAAGTGCGCATTGCTTCTTATCTTATGGCGGTTCGATGTGCCACGAAGAAAGATTTTGAAAAAATTGTTAGCAAAATTTCCTTTGAACAAAACACACAGGGTAAAATATGAATTCGAGTCTTCTGTTGTTTCATATAGTTAAAATAATTTTCATATTGTATATTAAAAGATTTGTTCTTTTTATGATATATACAATTATCTAATATTCGAGATTCCCATACACTTTCCCCGAGAGTTACAATAAGTGACTATAAATTATATTATTCTGATTCATTTCAGTTCGTGGGTTCATATTGAGTCACCTATTGAATCTTCAAGAAACCAAAGTACCGCACAAGGAACACCTCAGATACAATTTGACGAATGTTCTTCTTCCAAGAGATTTTAAGCAAGACATCACAAAATATTCTCGCAATATAGACCTGTCTTATTTCTCCCCATATCTGGGAATTGGTGCTGGCCTGGAGTCCAACATCATCTACGCTCCAGGATCCTTCATCCCTCGATCTATTGACTTCAACCTCACTGCTGCTTTAGAGGGAATCTCAATGAACATAGGCGAGGTTGGTGCACGATTTGAAGGCCTAGATCCATTTATTGAGAAACTGTTTGGCCCAGAAAGTTACTTCCAGAAAGCTAGTTATAAACAAATATTCAGTGAAATGACATCATTGTTTCATGAAAAGAAAAACAAATTCCTAGAACATTTCCATGGAGACTTCAAACATAAAAGATCAATTGATATGTCTACATTGTCCAACTTCTTCCATAATCTCTACAGTGATGAATCAAGATTAGCCAAGGCTGATGTTTTTGCTCGCTTTATGGGCCAGGAGATAAGTTTTGCCTCATTAGCTGGAGACTTGACGGACATCAGTGCTGACAGATTTATAGAAGCCTTTTTCTCTTACTTCAATGACATCGTCGATCAAATGAAGCACTTAAACATCAATTCTGCCAGAACTGCTCAATTGCACTTGGACTATTATTTCCCCACCATCCAGGGCACTCCATTCAAGCTTAAGATGGACGGAACAGCTGTTTTAGGAATGCAGATTGAGGGAAATCTCAACCTTGTAAATATGATAGCTAACTGGAAAAAAGGTGAAAGTATCTTGAAGCTTGTTCCCAGTTTGTCTGTGGAGGTTGATGGCTTCGTTGGTTATGACTGTCATATCTCTAAGACAGGCCTCGAAATGAAAAATACGATCTCCAGTAGCAATGGTGTCTCCTTTATGGTGAGACCAAAGAACAATAATGAACTAGAACTTGAACTGGACATCCCAGCCAAGATGGACTTCATTGATATAGAGAGTAAAATTCACTTTATAAAAGAGGTAAAAGGAAAACCTAAAACAACTGTCTCAGTTTCACCATCAAGTGAGGACGAAGTCACACATCAGTCTTGTTCCAACTCACTTGAGTCAGGTATTGGTATTAAACTTTGCTACAAATTCAATTTCTTCGACATACTCCGTAGCAACAGTTTCCTACAGGGTACGCCATTTGTTGCAAAGTTATTCTTGGAGAAAGTTGATCCCTCAGTGAAAGGATATATCGTGAAAACAGCAATTCAGGGCGACAGCAACAGAAAATTGATTAAAATGAAGCTAGAAGTGCCTGGAGCCACTACTGCAAGGGACGTTGAAACCGTTGTGTCCTATACCAAAGAAGAAGATTCCTACAAGATTTCAGCAGAGCTGGGATTCTCTGACGTTAGCAGCAAGTTCGGTGCCCACTTTACCAACAAGGTAAACCAGAAAGGTGTCCAAGCTTTTGCTAAATACAAGTCTAGTGATACAGAAATATTCCACGCAATAAAAGCAGATATTATGGCCAGGTCAACAACAGAGGACATGGAATACCACGTAACAATGTACGTCAGCAGAAGCGAAGATTTCTCCCCTCAGTCTCAAGTCATCGAGTGGAAATTTAGCAAGAAAAATAATGGCCCTGAAATATCACTGGATATTTTAGCAAAGACAAAGAATGCATGGAAAAGTTACATTGACCTGAACCTAGAGGGTAAGTGTAATTTGCAAGTTAACCAGTTTTGTAGAATAATTATCCAGTGAGGAAATTAGCAAAATCCTATAGATTTCAGTTTAACAAATTTACAAAACGTTCTCCTATAAAAAATAAATATAAAGTATATAATCCATGACTGTTATACAGGTGGAGTGGACCTGAGGTACGCTTCACACTCCCGCGTGCCTCTACCAAGAAAGCTACGCAAATTTGAGTTCCACACCGGCTTGGGAGGCTGGAAGGTCATATCATTTGTCCGTCAGACATCAGAGTCTGGCGACAAGGTTGAATTTTCTTCTGCCTTCAAGATAGCTCGCAGGAATGAAGACTTTATCTCTCTTGAGGCCACCCACACTACACAAGGAAGACTCTACACGGACTTTGTTTGCAAGACAACAGCTAAAGGCATAGTATTTTTCTAATTTCTGAAGCCAAATTTCAAATATATTAGAACATTTATATATTATTTATACTATTTTAAAGGTTTCTCGTGTCTGGTATCATTAACGCAGAATTATTAAGAGGGATAAATGTTTTTTGTGTGTTCTAATTTAAATATCATCACTTCAGTGAAAATGGGCCGCGCTGAGTACAAAGCAGCTTCCAGTATCTACTATGAACATGGGAAGAAGGGAGTATCTTTACAAGTAATTCGTTCTGAAGATAATGTGAAGGTGGCTGACCTTGAAGCTACCCGAGTTTGCACTATACAGTCGTGCAGAATTTATGCTGCGGTAAGTTTGTGCAACTTTATACCTTACATTACAGTGGTAGTAAGCTCATACTACTGTATGGTAAGTTTGCTCTGCTTCATACTTAACACAATAAAGGTAGAAAATTTACCTCATATGTAACACTTAGTCGTGATAAGTTGACGCTATTTAACACTAAAGTGGTGGTGAGGGTATATTGCTTTATGTTTAACACTCGGGATAAACCTATGAAAAAATCGTATATAATTCTCTTTAACTAGTTTTTAATATACCATGTATTTCAGTGGAACTATTTGTACGAAATCTATTACATGCAGTCTTGACTTTCACCAGTTGTTTCTTAGGCATCATCTTTTGCATTTTTGCACATTTTGTTTTAGTCTAATGAACTGAACAACCTACAATCATAGGGATGAATTTTGTCAGATCCCTTGCATTGCTGTTTACAGATGGACATGCCGGACTACATGAAAGTCCTCAAGTTTGAGTGCAAGGAAGAAGAGCAGGGGCCAGGTCGCTACGTGGTTGAGGCTGCAATCCAACACGGAGATCTAGTCATATTTCAAGCTGAAGGACCAGTCACCGCCAAGATCTCATCAGACTCTGCCAAACTTCAAACTGATATTAGATTTATTACCATAAGCAGACAGCCATTCAAATTATCTTCCAATTTTGTGTTTGCTAAAAACAAACAAGTTTTGTCATTGGAACTTATTAAACAACGAGAGCCAGTCTTTGTGGCTGAATGGAACATAAAATCTGGTTCCTCTCAAGGAACTACTATTGGAATTAAGTTCCAACTGCCAGCCTTGGTAGATAAGAAACTTGATGCCATTATCAGCAATAAGCTAATCCATGTTAGTTTCGACACTCAATTTTTACCGAAGAGTTCGGCCCCTCGTAGAATAAAAGCGTTTACTGACATTGACTTCGAAAACAAGAAGTGGATGGCTGACTTCGCCTGGGATGCTGATCGTGACCAAAGTAAAAAGATCATTCTTGACACTAACGTGATTAGCAACCCATCCAACCCAGGAAGAGTCTCCATCCAGTAAGTGACTTTGGTCCCTCCAGTTTGATAATATAATTATTGCTATATTTTCCAAAAAAATATATTTAGTTTTACTGGATAATATATGTACGGAGTTTTCTCAACAGTATTAAGTAAATCAAAACGGATAAAATTTGTGTTTTGAGATATTCAGTAATAAATATAATGAGTTTAAGTGTGAAAAGATGCAACGTTTAATTTTCAGTGGCAATGTCAAGTGCATGAATGAGATGTACCACGTCAAACTTGATATAGAGGCAGAAAATCTACGACAATACCGCTATGGAGAGAATGGCTTCAACCTGGAGCTAACGTCACCACAGAGGAGCTTGGAATGGAAGTTAAACACCAACGTTGAATCCAGGTCCGCAAAAGTAGATATGAATCTTCAATGCAAGTTCCAGGATGACAGGGAATACAGATTGACAAGTGTTGTGGATATTGAAAAGCTTGGTAGTCCATACAGCTACAAGCTGGAGTCTGAGATGAGCTTCACATCACCAGGAGGACAGGAGACTACAGTTCACGCTGAGGCGAAACACCAAGTTACTTCAGAGGAACGTGAAATATATTATAAGGTGAGTTATTTCTTATTTTGTTTAACCATTTTTACTTGAGAACCGTTTAAGGGTTTACTGAAATTATGTAAAGAAGATAATTATTTAAGTGGTATGTGAATTTATTTATCTTATCCCTTACGCTTGATTTAATTTTCCCATAACTTATTTATACATGTATTTTTAACGTGGCATCATTTACATTAATTTTTATTTAAATCATATTCTGAAATCATTTGCAAATTGTAACATCATTTACACTGCTTCTGACATCATGCACATTGTTGCATTGTACACATTAACGGTGATACATATATTGTGTTACAATGAATATTAATAATTGGAAAATAAAGAATTGCATTGCTTCACAGGCAAGTGTAAGGACTCCTGCTTTGAGAAGACCTCTTGTGCTGGAGATGTCATCAGTTAGCCAAGAGTTATCCTACAGTTTGAAAGCCCTGACGGAGAGGGACTCCCCTGCCACCATGATCAATTGGGAAATGAAACTTTATCCTGAAGGAGGAGTTGAAAAGTTTGTGTCATCCGTGGATATGAATGCTCTTCGTGATTTCCTCAAGTCCGCTCTTGAGATTGTTGCCATAGAAGGTGAGGAATATTCTCCGGAAGTGGAAAATATGGAAAAGGCAAATATGGATTCCACTACCACAAGCCTACACCATCCTCCTACTCTATGAAAATTGAGTCTCCATCCCGCACTCTGGAGGGTGAAGCTGAGTATTCTCCTTCAAGGTCAAGTTTCAAGTTCTATCCTGACAGTGACAAAAGTGAGGCCAAATATGAAATCACTGGAGAATTCTTCACACAACTACTGGGATTTAGTATCGAAGTACGAAGGCCGATTGAGTCACCCAGGTGTCCAAGGATATCAGAGTTAAGGTTGAACATTCATACAGTGGACAGACCATGCGAGGCTCACTAGAGCTGGACATCTTCCCCGACACAGAAGATAAAATTACAGGCACGCTAAAGTCAACCATGATCGCCAACAACACTGTCAGAATTGAAGCATCACTAACTACCAGGGTAAGTTTTAATCGCCTGTTGTCTCCAATAATAAATATTTGTACTATAAATAATTGCATACTCCAGCATATTTTTTTTAAATTACTGAAATATGATTTTTACAGATACTGAGAGTGCACCCCAAAGTCACCGTAATGGCAGCTTATTCTCAAAATACGACTGGCATTGATGTGCAGTTCCAGAAGTCTCCCTCTTCACCTGTATCCTTCCAAGTGTCGGCCCTGTACGACCGAATTTTCACTGGAGATGCAACAATGACTTTCCGTGTGATTAACGAGGAAGACGCTGTGGTGGACATAGCTGGTGTGATGGGGCCAGAAAAAGATCCTGAGTGTAACGGCGTCAACATCAAGGGTGTGGCTTACGCTTCTCCCATCGGAAGTTATGATATTCACTCCAAACTTTGTAGACCATTCTTCTTCGAACTGATTTCGAAGAAACAAGAAAGTCAAAAGGAATTCATAACGAAACTTGGCCTGCAATATCCGAACAGAGCTGAGATTAGCTTATCGGGAAAATAACCTGGATCAACCGTGGAGAAACGCAATAGCAATGGCCCGTGTCAAACTTCCCTCTCCTACTGTTGCTGAAGTTCACTTCTTTTACGAATCTGAAAATATGCACAGGTGAAGGTAAACTATATTTTCGTTAATATTGGGAAATTTTTTAAAGTCTGATTTTGATTTGTTTAAAAGTGTGTGTGAACTTGTTTAATTTACACATTGTGGTGAAATTGCAGGGGTTTGAAGGAAGACTGGCAGAGAGGATGGAGTTGCTCACTCATGGGTGACAGTGTGTCTAGATATCTGGAGGAACAAGCACAGCAAAAAGGCACTACCTTCCCTAACCCAGAGATCGAAAATTCTCGAAGAATAAACATGATCTTGGGGAAATATTTGATCTGATTATAAAAAAATCATCCCATTATGGGGCTTTCCGTAAATTTCCCAAGGCCCCGCAGTTCTCGTTATACAATTTTTTTCAAGCATTCTCGGTATAGCCCAAAATACAGGAGACCCAAGAAGTCGTCTTCTCCCGAGGTTTTAGCTTGGCAAGAAAATTTTTAAAGGGAAAACGGCGCATCATTGAACGTAATTTTATTTTCATTTATTAATTTAAAGGTTTTACTTAATTTATCCCTGAGATTGTCTAAAGCGAAACCCCTTTTTTCAATGAAAACGGGGAATTTTTATTCAACGTTTTTGGGGAAGGCTACGCGTTGGGGGGAGACCGGAGATTCCAGACCGTGCGTCGCCTACTGGGAAAGTGCAAGAAACTAGGATTTCAAAAGTTTAAGAGGGACGTCGCGCCCTTTTTTGGCGATACCCGGAGGAGTACGGGCCATCCCCGGAGATGGTGGCCCCAAAGGGCAAGGATACCCTCCAGGAAGTTTTTGAGAACGTTCCATTAGGGTTCAAAAATTAAAGTTGTTTAAATACGATCAAGTGGATTCTTAAAGACCTCAGCAAGTTGTGATTTTTTAGCATTAATTTATTATATTTTTGACTAATATGCAGGGTTTAAGGGGCTTTATATTAAAAGATCAATTAATTCTTGTGGTTAATTCATTTCTAAAAAAATATTTTAATTAAAAAGGTTGTGACAAAATTTATCCCGTCGGGAACGTTATTACGCACAAAGTTAAGCAAAATTTTAAATCTTTTTTTTTTTCTCCTTTCAGGAAAAAATGATTTCCAATGGTGGAGGAGTTATTTGTGAAATATTCAGGAAGCATCGGGCTCTTGGTGTGGAAAACAAATGAAAGCGGAAAAGAAATTCAAAATGCATTTGCTAAGCCAGTTTTTCTTTGATTCATTACTGAGGGGTTCATTTTAACCCCAATTATTATCTTGAAAAAAATGGGCCCTTTGGGTTTATGACCCCCTCATTCCCTTCCCATCAACAACGTAATTGGGGATATACACTTGCTGCCCGCCATAGACGAGTTGTTTCCTCCTTAAACCGCACGCCATGGTTGTCAGGACCGAATCCTTACCTTTGATGGAGCTCTACTCCGTGCACCTCGTTCACCGTGTCAAGTTGTCTTGGCTGTATATGCCAACAACAAGCTTACCATGGCCCATCCACAATCATCAGCCCCGCCACAGATCACCTTTTCTACTGGCTCCACTACTGTCACTGTTAAGCCAGACTTCCGTGTTAACGTTAACGGACATGAGATGAACAGACAACAATTAGCTGCAGGTGATGTCTTTATTCAAAAGAGTCCCCGAGAAGTCAATGTAACATCACCCTTCATGACAGTCCGAGTATTCCGCCAAGAACGTGTAGTATCTGTGAACGTGTCTGGCTGGACCTTCGGCCGCATTGCAGGTCTTCTGGGTACTTATGATGGGGAAGTCGGTAATGACTGGTTTACACCATCGGGAAGGAATGCTTCCAGCCTTCAAGAGCTAGTGTCATCCTGGCAAGAGGACAAGCAGTGCCAGACTCCTTCCATCTCTCCCTACAACCATAACAATGTGCCAGTAGAAAAAGACATTCATTGTAATGCGCTTGTGGGAATTCGGTCCAGATGCTACCCTATGGTCCATCCGGGGTCCTTCATCAAAATGTGCCACGCCGCGCGCCAGCCTTGTGACGCTGCCCAAGCCTACCGCATCATCTGCTCTAACAAGGGTGTTAACCTGATGGTGCCGCCTAGCTGCTGACATCTCACTTCTCATCTGCACTCCATAGTAATTTCCTCTTTGTAGTTTTTATGTACACTTATGTATGAAAAACGCATATAAAAATACAAAAAAAGTTAATGAAGGATAACAAATATATTCAATTGTAAATCTAAATGCAGCATTCATTTTCCATCATTAGTTAATTCAATGGTTCGAATTGGTGTATTTACATGTTTTGGGAAAAGCCTGTTTATTTTGGTAGCAAACTGCATGAAGAGGCTTCTCTACTCTGACAAGAGTAAGCCAGGTGGCCCAGTTTCCTTGTACCCACTGAATGCGGGCACAAAGAGAATAATAAAGTGTGTATTTTATATAATACATTCACTGTTCTCATCTATATTTATGCAACATTAATGCATCCAGACATGATCAGAAAATATACAATTTCAATAGAGAATATGTTTACAGTCCCATAATAATTATCCCTCATCCATCGTGTAATTTTTCTTAAATCTTAATTAAAAAAAAAAAGTAAGAATTACCGTCATCATTTACAGATCAAACTTGATTGCATTCCATTCCCCAGGCAATGTACGACGCCAATAGGTTCACAGTGAGGCGAGAAAAGTAGACTGGTTGGTTAAATGGGGTTTAACATCTGTCTACTACACTAGAATCATTAAGGCTGGATGTATCCTTTTCACCAACAAACAAGAATACTTTAATCCCTAAAACAGGTATTATACGCTTAGAGAAATACATCTCTCAGTATATATAGTTTAATCATTAGATAGGACAAGATACTGATAGAAGAGCTGAGGCCGGTATATATACGGGAGTAGGCGAGGGAAGCGAGTAGTTTAGGTTTTTAGGAGACAGGAGAGAGAGACCATTTTTAGACAGAGACTCTTCGACTGGCTTCTGCACTGGAAAGACGTACCTGCTCCCGGTTGGGAGGATCAGACCTCGACACTCAGCAACTAGAACAGACAAGAGAAGAGGAACTCTTCATCCTGCTCCAGGACTTGGTGCGTAGCTGGCTGCCTGCCCCAGGGCAGACAGTTGGCCTCTGCACTCTTGTAGCTGGGTGAAGTCTTCCCTACTCTGTCTCCCTACGATCCCCGTTGGGGAGGGGAACTTTTACCAGCATCGTCTTCACCTTCATTGCACGATGAGCTACGCAAATCGTGTCAAGATCAAGCCAACAAGTGGTACCGTTGATGATTCAACGAAGATTGCTCTTGCAACTGTTGTTCAAGGAACACTGCAAGTTAAATTCAACACCATTTTGTCCCTGAAAGAAGCATTCATTGTTGTGTGTCACGATGATGCTGAAGCAGAGAAGCTACTCACTACTGATGCCACCACTACACTTACCACTCAAGGGTTTACTGTTATGTCATCTCCTGCCCTCAGGGCCAGGAAATCAGTATTCCTCAAAAAACTTGACAAGATTCTGACGTCTCAAACACCAGCAGAACTCAAGACATCCATAGAGACGCTAAATACTTGGGCTACTGTTGACAGCATCACAAAAATCCCGAATGCATCGTCCATGCTCAAGGTCACCTTCACCGACGTTAACATGGCTGCCACTGCTCTGACTGAAGGTCTTGCTATCTACTACTACTTCATCAGTCCAACCTACATCGAAGCAGAGAGATATCAGTACATCCAACACTGCTGGAACTGTTATTCTTACCATCACACCACCAAAGCATGTCCAGTAAAAGACAAGAAGTTCTGCACTACATGTGGTAGTGAGGGACACACCTTCAGTTCCTGCACCGCTGCTACTCCACCACAACCATCGTGCTTAAACTGTAAAAGTAACGACCACCATACACTGGCAGCTAAATGTCCTACACGAAAGGATATAGTGAAGAAAACACAAGAAGCAGCAAAGAAAAAACCTAGCAACACACCAACGTATGCAGCAATTGCAAAGATCCAAGCTAACACTACAAAATTACTTCAAGCATCTACTCAGCCAGCCTCCACCATCATCACTCCTCCAGCATGTGACGTAACTAAGATCCACTACTGTCTACTATACGCTCACATGCAGAATATGGCTGTACCTGGATCTTTTAACTCTACCATCAACGAGTTATTTGCACTAAATAATATGCCATCATTTATATTCCCAGCATCTCCACCTTCGGAAGAAATACTCAAATTTACCAAGGACCTAATCAACACTTTTGCATCAGCAGCTCCAACACCACCAACACCTAGTGACGTCACTCCAACAAGACCTCCTATTCGTCGATCGCCTCCTGCTCGTCGATTGGCTCGTCGTGGCGGCGTACCTCCTTCACCTCCACCCACCACTACTCATATGGACCAATCAGAAGCCACGATTCTCCCACAGTCTTCTACACACTCTCTAGCGGAGACACCAAAATTGAAAGCACCTTCAATGCTGCAACCACCAAAAAAAACCTCTCCAGCTATCTCTCGACGTATTCATACAGAAGACCAACATCAAGATCAATACCTGCACTGGAAAGATATAACTTTTTATACGACTCCTGATCAAGAACCTACCATGACTGTCGACACTTTGTACGATAAATTACTCGACAGAACAGTCAAGTTTACAAATCGTAAAGGATCCCACTGCTCCGTGACTACACTCCAGATGACCTTGGACCAATTACAAGCCAACCGAGC